CAACACCAAAATTTAAAAAATAAATTAAAAATTCATATGAAAAAGAAAATTTTTTTAAATRACCYGTTTTAAGCKAAATWTHRARCAAAAACCGTTTTCACCCCTTGATTTTTAATAGAAGGGATGAAAAAAAAATAATTTTTTTTCCATACGTTTTTTCTTTGTAGTTTTTTAAAGATAATTAAAAAACAAAAAATTAAAAAAGTCCAATTTTTATATTTTTTACTGAATTTTCATTTTTTTAGTACTTTGAACCGTCGTAGGGGTGAAAGGGTACGTTTTAGGGAATAAATGGTCTGAGAGAGATAGGCCTAAAATTTTATGCTCTACAACTTTTACTTAAAACTTTTTTTGATATTTTCAACATATAACCAAAAAATCGTATTTTGGGGTAGTTTTTAATTTTTTTCACCCTTTTCCCGGTGGTTGAGAACTTTTTTACTTTGCCCACTGTTTTGTACGCATTTTTCTTATAATTTACATATTTTTTCAGCCGTATAGCTCAAAAACCTGATTTCAGGGCTATTTTGACTGGACTAATATATATAGTATACCAATGTAGAAAACCTAAATAGATTTTCTGCAAAAATAAACAATTAAGATAACATAATATATACCGCACACTTTTTCAAGAATGAAACAAATACAAATTTATCTGTTCGCAATCGTTAGCTTCTTTCATTTTTCTGATTAAAAGGAATAATTCTCGTTTAACCCTGAAGTACAGAGAAACAGACCCACGCCACATTTAGCAGTGCTTAAGAGATTAAATAATGATTTCAAGAAATGTAAAACAACAAGTCATTTTGTTGATAGATCTTGTGTTATTAAAAAAAAAAATAAGAGACGGAGATATGCCGCACACAAATATGTGCACATCGATCTTTTGATCTACTGAAGATATTTCTTCTTTTTAAAACATTGTACCGATTTATTTTCTAATTTAATTCTAATCGATAAAATCATATAATCGAATCTTCTGATTGTACGTTATTGTAGGTGGATTTCCAGATGTGTGTTTATGCATCCCCGGCTGTTGATTTGCAGTACTTTCTTAACACTAGCACGAACAATGAAGTGTACGAAAATTACAAGGACAAACTAATAGAGGAATATTATAATACATTGTGTAACACGATGAGACAATTGGATTGTAAAACCCTTCCACCGAGCATGGAAGAACTACGAAAGTCTATTAAGGAACGTGAGGTAGTAGCAATGATAAGTTCTTTTACGGTTCTTCCGTATGTTATGGTAAACAAAAATGAAGTGAAGGATCTCGACGAGATCTTTACTACAGATGGCAATTATGACAATTTCGCTTATAAAAATGACCGTTATCATAAAGTAATAAGCAAAAGGATTCTCTATTACGATCAATTAGGATTACTGGATGTATAGGAAAATTATAATAGCATGTTTTATGTAAATTGAAACAGAGATATATTTCCTTATTATCTATATATTATAGGCAATAAGTATTATTATGTTTTTATTATTATTTATTAGAATTAAAAACTCGAAAGTTCATTGCCGCAAATACCAGATCCCGCCAGTATTCCCGTCCCTTAGCGCGACCCCTCCTATTCTTTTGGATCCTATTTCTTTAAGATCCCTTCTAATATTGTCCTCCCATCTACGTCTCGGTCTACCTAGTGGTCTTTTCCCGTTCAGTATACTGACCAGTAATTTATGCGTCGTTCGATCCTCTCTCATGCGCACCACGTGACTAGCCTATCTAAATTGGCGTGATTTTACGACGTTAATGCTGTCCGCTTTGTTGTACAGTCGAGGTATTTCTACGTTATGGAGTTTTCTCCATTCGCCCGTTTCCTCATCGCGTTTTACTCCGAAGAGTTTACAAAGAACTTTCTTTTCGTCCCCTAACGTGAGAGACTACGTTTCGCTACCACAAAGGACTACCGATAGGATGATTGTCTTGTATATCCTAATTTTTAAGCACCTATGCAACAACTGAGAGCTAAGTAATTTATTAACCGAATAAAAGCATGAATTGCCTAAATTGCATCTTTTCTTAAGTTTTTCGTTAATTTCATTCGTCTGGTTTATGATTGATCCTAAATACCTAAAATTGCTGACCCGTTCAAAAATTTTAACCCGGACGACCAAAGTTCCAATATTAACACTAGATTCACGGGCATTGTGTGCATACCTATTTTTACAGAAATTCGTCTTTTTGAAAGAAATGTTAAAATAAAATTTTGTTTTTAATTATATATTAAAAAGCTATAAAGAGACTTTCATTTACTGTTGTCTTCAATACATTTTTTACATGATAATTCTATTTTATAACCTTTCACTTTGATCTACTTGTTTTATTAAATAATAAAAAATGATTAACTTCCAAAAAGAACTTATTTTATCTGCAAAATTCACTAGTAAACTGTGAGTATCCGTAATATAAGAAGGTTTGATCTAACTATAGACAACATGTCCAATCTTGCTTACTCATGTATTTACTGGAGAATAACTGTTATTTGTTTATTGTTATTATTAAAGTGAAAACTTCTTTAAAATAGAAAGTGATTTGAAAAATTGAAACACGGATGCGATGTAACGTAGTCCAGTCAAAATAGCCGTGAAATCGGGTTTTTAGCCTATAAGGCGGAAAAAATATGGAAATAATCAAAAAAATGCATTGTAGGCAAAGTAAAAAAGTTCTCAACCACCAGGAAAAGGGTGAAAAAAATTAAAAACTACCCTAAAATACGATTTTTGGATTATATCTTGAAAATATCAAAAAAAGTTCCAAATAAAAGTTGTAGAGCATAAAATTTAAAGCCTATCTGTTTCAGACCATTTTTCCCCTAAAACGCACCCTTTTACCCCTACGACGTACTAAGTTCAAAGTACCAGAAAAATAAAAATTCAATAAAAAATATAAAAATTGGACTTTTTTAATTTTTTGTTTTTTAATTATCTTTAAAAAACTACAAAGAAAAAACGTATGGAAAAAAAATTATTTTTTTTTCATCCCTTCTATTAAAAATCAAGGGGTGAAAACGGTTTTTGYTYDAWATTTMGCTTAAAACRGGTYATTTAAAAAAATTTTCTTTTTCATATGAATTTTTAATTTATTTTTTAAATTTTGGTGTTG